AAAGCGCCACCTACAGTTCAATTGTTTGCGTATCGGTTTAATTATTGCCTCTCGCCCCCCGCTCCTGTTCATTTGTCGCTTCGCTTCTCTCTTTTGCTCCTGTGGCGCAGGCTCTCCCTTTTGCCGCTTGTCATTTATTTATATTTACGCCCGCGGCTTATTTTCATTTCGCTGACCCACTGTGTCCCGCCCCCAGTTTTCCACCGTTTCCCCCGCCTTTCCAAGCCCCCATGACACTTTCCTTATTTCACCCGACGGCGCTCCTTCACTCCCTCTTGCCCATTTGGCACGTGTCTTTGTTGTTAAATTGCTCTTAATGTTGTTGTTGTTGTTTTTATGTGGTGTTGTTTTAGTTGCTGTTGTAGTTTTGCTGCACAGCAAGAAAATATGGGTACGATAATATAAGATATCGATTTAGTACTAACAACGAAAAAGTACTCTGGCGTATACGTGATTTTTAATAAAAAAGAATACAGAGTAATTATTTTATGTTAAAAATACAATGGGCTTTAGGAAAATGTGAATTACACATATATTTTAAATTTATTATTAATTTAGATATCGAATTTCTGTAAGAAAAGAAAACAACACTGCGTATACGTGATTTTTAATATGAAAGAGGATTAAAAAATCGCGTATACGCCAACGTTCCACTCCTTAATTTTTAATCATTTAATTTATAAGATTGTAAAGATGTAATATTTTTTGTTTAAAAAAAAGGATTTAATATTTATATCATTACTTTCAATTTGTTTAAAGATTAATACGAATATGTTAAGTTTCATTCCAAGAGGCTATTAAAAGGGTAGGCTTATTTCCTTATTAATATTTCTATTATATTTCTATTAAAAAGCTTTAAAAGAAATTTCATAATTTAATATTATTTTTTTCTGTGCATGTTAATACGGTTGTTGTTGCGGATGGCGTCTTTTGTTGGTGTTATTTGTTGTTATTTTGTTGTTGATGTCGTTGTTCTTGTGCGTGGTTGCATTTATTTATGCGAGCGCAAAGAGGAAAATTGTGTCGACGCTTTTTGTTTTATATATTTTTTTTACCTCCCCCCGGTCGGCACTTTTTTTTCTACTTGCAGGTGAAATATTTTTAATTAAAAAATATTTTATTTAAGCGAGTGTCAAGCGCTCACGTCGTCATCATCACCTCTTAGTTCGTCGCGACTTTTCACTCTTTTCAGTTTTCACTTTTCCCTGTTTCTATAACCTTTCAGAGTATTTTACTTTAGTCAGAAGCTTGTAACTCAGTGAAGGATAATTTCCGACCCTATAAACCATATATATTCTGATCAGCATGAACAGCCGATTCGAGCTAGCCATGTCCGACAAAAATTTAATTTTTTCAAAATTTTGCAAATTTTATAAGGGGTTACATCGTTAAAATTGTCAAAAATTACAAATTTTTAAAATTATAAATGAGTAAGCAGATTTATTAACTAATAAAAACTAAAAGAACAGTTTCCGAATTAAAATTAACGATTTTTGGCTTGTTATGAGTTTTTTAAACTTTGATTATTGAACAAATTGTCATATAAAAATATCATAAATGTCAATGCATATATTTTAAGCTTATTCAGTTTCAGATTCAATGCTATAATTCGTTTGTAAACTACAAGGGTATATATAATTCGTCAACTCGAAGTTAGCTTCCTTTCTTATTTGTTTTTAACATGTGTGCAAACAAAATTCGGTTCAACTTTGGCCTTTTTTACCAGTAACCTGGCTATTAACGAAGTTAGTTGGTTATTTAACAAGAGTGTGTGGCCATTGGAGAAGGGGACGAAATTAAGTAATTTATACATTATGATGAGAAAATGTTTATTAGATTTGTATTTAATCTAAATATTATATTATTTTGTAATTATAAAATATGGAAAATAGACATACTAGTTTTATGCACAATTAATACATACGAATTTATAGCCCTATTAATATTATTACTCAGTGTCTTTTCGAACTTAATCAAATCAAATGTTTACCTTTTCGAAGCTTAGACATTGTATATTTATGTATCGCAATTGCAATTTTATGGTAAGGATTATTTTCCCTATTGCATTTTAAATTTCCTTACCTAAAAAGAGAAAAGATATAGAAATACATATTAATATAAAACATTATAGAAACCTTAAAATTATCACAAATAAATATTTACTATTAATAATATTGCTATGCTATTAAATTACTTTAAGTGGTATATGTTATTTATTTATTACTTTTATCACCCACATATATTTTTTCTAGTAAAATCCCATTCCCCCGGATGATGGCTCCTGTATCACAGATTATGACAGACAATGGGTTTTCCCATCATTTTGAGTAAACACAGAGCCAATGCAACCCCCTTTTTACATCCCTTGTTTTATTATCTCCCATATTTGCCTGCATTTTGTTTTACATTGTGATTTATTTTTTTTTGTTCAGGAAGCCTTAATGCAGTTTTCTTGTTGTTTTTGAAAACCACAGCAAAATCCCTTTGAGTGCAGTGTATATATCCCTAAGGGCAAGCAGCTCCATATGCTAACTACACAGGAAAGAATTTACTATTTTTTTTTGTTCTATACAAAATTATCTTAATTATGAAGTTAAGATCTTTATTTGACTTAATTAAAAGTAAGTGAAAATTGTGATATTTAAATTTTAAAGTTTTGAGATGAGAATAAAGTTGAAAGTTTGGATACAATTTTTAAGTAAACAATGTTTTAATTTCATAAGGAACTTATTAAAGGATTGGTGCATTTAGTAATGGCTTATATTTCCTCTATTATTGTTACATATATGTTAATCAATATTAATTAATTTATATTTCAAGATTTTCTAGACTTCTTAGTTTTAAATCTTTTTGTACTGTGTCTGTTTTTTGGGTTTCTTTTTTTTTTTGTTGCTACTTTCGATGCCTTCGCCTGTTACCTACTCATATATATGTACATATATCTATGCGTCCCAGATTTTAAACAAGGTTAGCGTACACACACACCGTCACAACACATGACCAAAACTTTTCCCATTTTCCATTTCCCCTGCGCTCCACCAAATTCGCTTTTGCCTATTTTTTTTTTCGGTCATTTGCAATGTGTACGCCATTTTGTATAGAGCCCCCTCTAACGTTAGTCACCTCCATTAGGGCCAAAACCCCTGGCAATATACAACAACCGACCCTACCCTCTCCCTACTATACTATTCCCTTTAAAAGGAGGCAACTCCCAAGTGCAACTGGGTGAGTTCTAGGCAGCCTTTGGGAAATGGTGTCAAACGGATATGCATGTTGATTTAATTTGCACCTTCGTTTAAACGCTCCCCATTCCCATTGTGAGTAAATTATTTTTGCGCCCTGCTCGTAAATTAGACCTACATAGGATCGCAGAGCGGGCACTGTTCTAGTTCTATATATATATAGTAAGTATATATAGAAGCTCCTATAAAAAGTATATGTGTGTGCGTCCTGTGTGCAAAAATCAACGCCGGCTAATTGCACGATTTTTATCACCGCCAATATAAACGAGGTCGCAACACCTTCGGGGGGAATAAATTATTGCACAAAAAAAAGAGTATAAAGCCAGGCCAGGTGGTATTATAATCGAATTGAATTTCAACTTTTAACTCATAAAAAATTGACTTGTGGTCGCAATAGCATAGCAAAAAGAAAACAGTTAGGAAGTTTGTATATTAAAGCTTTAGTTTGAAATCTATAAACTTAAAATTTATTAGATTTAAAAAATTTGTTTTCCTTCGACGATGGCTAGATCGATTCAGCTGTTGATGCTGATCAAGAATATATATGATTTATAGGGTTGGAAATGATTCCTTCACATCGTTAGAAGCTTCTGAAGGAAATTATATTACCCTGAAGAGTATAAAAATGAAAACGAAAGTCTATTATAAATTAACAAAATTATTAACCTACAATTTGTTAAATGAAATAATAAAGATCAAAGATCCTATAAATGACAAGTTTATTATTTATATTATCATAAAAAATGTACTTGTACTGGAAATAGTATTCTATTCTAAAAACTAATATTCTTGGTATAAAATCCTTCTGGAATTTTTGTACTACAAACTCCAAACTTTTTAAATAAAATATCTTAGCCAAAGACTCTTTATAAAGTAACCAAAATTATTAATTCAAATTTCCTTTCGGACAGTTTATGGTAATGAACCCATAAGCCTAAATGAACTATTAAGTTTCCCCTTAATAATCTACTTCTTTGTCCATTACATCAGGTTATTAGCTATCCTTGTGATTAATTAAACTGCGGAAGCCACAAAACGTTGCCATCGTCATTGGGGAACCCGCCAACGCTGCGTATGAGTAATGAGTTCATGAATGAAATTCTTTTCATATATATAAATATATATAAATTTACTGCGCTTCGGTGAGCGTGGTGTGTGTTTGGAAAAGTTTATTATACGGACACAGCCTGGCATAACTGTCAGGATATGTTTTAGCTTTGAGGATGGCAGGATGCGAGGGTGTAAAGGCCGATTTTGGTAGATGCGGCACGTGTCAGTGGTACCGCTATTTATTTATTTAGTGGCTTAATAATTGAGCACGTGATCTTATAAATGTTACGACCAGTTTTAGCTTCCATTTCCTGCCCTCCTACTTCTTCGTTCCAAACACTCTTAGTCTTCATTTGAGGCACGTAATTGGCTTTTGAGAGTACACACACACCCGGGCAAATTTGTATTAAAAGCAACTACGGCAACTGGAAGGGTTTAAGAGCAGCTTATATGGGCTTATTATGGACAGAAGGCCAATGGACGATGGACGATGGACGATGGACTTCAGAGGAAGCCGCCGCCGCAGTAGCAGGCGAAGGCACGTAGCAAAAGCAAGGTGGTGACTTAATTGGGTGGGTCAAAAGCACCACCAGCACCACCAGGTGGGGTTTACTTCCTATAGGAAGCCCTGCCTTGTGGTTGTCCCTACTTCCTGTTATGATTTCAAACTGATGTTTGCCCCATGATGATGATGATGGGGCCATGACAATGCCCACAATTGAGGGCTTAGATGGGAGTTTGCAGGATCAGGACAAGCGGAGGAAGGTATGTGAATGTCGTTTGAGGATTAAATGAAAAATCAACATCAAGTTTGGGTTTCCTTTTCCTTTTTAAGAAAAAGGAGATCAATTTAGGGGCACTACATGAATTTAATTTTAACTGAAGCCAGAAACTGGATTAAAACAAGTACAAGAAGATTAAATTTAGTTAATGGGGCAAAATAAATCCTAATAAATTATTCACTTATTTAAAATGATATAAATTCCCTTCTGGTGAATAATTTATAAACAAGTATGTATTTTATAACATTTACTTCCTCCATATTTACTAACTTATTCAGGCATATTTTATGCGCAATTCCATAATTTAATAACTACGGCCCTGCCTTTTTACATAATTTATGCAAATTATCAGTCTGTTTTTCGTTTCCATAAACTGTCAATTGCTGCGGAAAATTCTGCCATGGCAATCAATCAGTCTGAAACAAATTTGGAAATATTTTTACGCCCTCACGCAATAAGGCGTTGTGCACTTTGCAATCAAATACAAATAAAAAGTGATAATAATAATAATCAAATATAAAATATTGCTGGGGGTCGATTATGAGCTTTTAAATTGGAAAGTTCATTAAAATAATCGCCAATTTGGCATTTAATATGTTTACAAAAATATAAATTATTGGATTTACCACAGGCGAATACATTTTTTTTTGTGACTGTGAAATATCACGATTACAGAGCTATGGAAATTTTGGTCACGGTCGAAGGGAGGTGAAAATTATCAGAAATTGAATAGAATTATTCAGTTCGCACATTTACGCATTGAATAACGAATATTTGTGTGGGTGCAAATACAAAAAAAAAAAAAAACATTTCATTCAGTGCAATTTTGCGGGTTTATTTATATATTTTTGTGAAAGGAATGCTTTTGTTACGTTTCAAAAGGTTAACTAAAAGGTCAATCAATCACTTTATCTAAATCTGTTGCTCATTTAAATTGCTATGCTATCTATAGCCAAGCACTTATCATGACCAACGATATCAACCTTTTTTATCTCCATTTTCAATACGTTACTTATCTAATGTTTTACTACAAAACCCTCAGCACAAGCAGTAAAAAAATTCCATTCGATTATCTTTCATTCGTTTAGCTTAACGAGCTTTTGAAATATATAAATATATATATATAGATTTCCTTATTCTTTGCCTTTGTGGTTATACTTTAATGAGTGCAAATGCTGCCTAGATACAAATCAATAAATACAATTCCTTGGCTTCTTAGTGAAACTCAAAGTTCTGATTTTATACGGGTATTTTCTACCACAAAATAAAAACAAAACTAAGCCAAATTGCTGTGAAGCACATGGCACCCAGAAATCAATGCTCGAAGGAACATATGGTTTTCCCTTTCCCTGAAGAAGGACTGCTCCTTTTCGGTTTTTTCTTCATTTTTTTGTCCTATTTTTTATCCTATTACTACCGATTTTTCCCTCACTTTTACCCCACACTTATTCCCCACACGTTGACATTTTCCTTGGCGTCTTTTACTGAGATTTTCCTTTCTTGTTATTTGTTGTTGCTGCTTTCTGCCGAATATTTCTTTCCTTTGAGCTGGGAAAATTTACCTTGAAAGATATGTATGGCCTGCACATAGCACATATTGCTATATGCAAAAAGCTTCTTGTGCCAATGCAAAATGTGTTCTTGAATGTTTATGATATGTTCACGGAGAAAAAATGTGGGTATAGTAAATAATATTTTAAGAAATATTAACAAAAAAACACCTAGCATGTATGTTTTAAATTTCCAATAATTATTAAGGTTCTAAATCAATTAAAAGATTGCCCATAACATGAGTTTAGGTCCTTAAATATATCATTGCCTACTTTTTGACTGATTTTCAATTGACTTAAAATACTAACTCCTGCTCTATCCCTGAGTATATTAAATATATATAACTAAGTTAAGACATTTTTCTCAGTTTAAATGTGTGTGTGTTTATATCCCTTTTTTAAACACGCTCTGGATCCGATCCCTGCTACTTCCTTCATTTCCACTTCCGACGGCCGCACAATGCACTAAAATAACTGTAAATAACAAATTTGCAAGAGTATGTGTGAAAGACCGCAAATACACACGCAAGACCAACACACACATATACTCACACTACGCCGATAAATACACACACTCTCCCATACACAGATACACCAATGCAATGCGGGTTCATTGTATAGGCGTGCCAGACAGAGACGGGTGCGGGGGAAAATTACGGAAGCGGGAGGGAAAAAGAAGGGGGAAAATTGTGGGCCAAATGCATGTGTACGGAAGGGTCCATAAAAACTGCAAGGATGCCGCAATAAAATATCGGCACTATAAACGGTTAAGGCACAACAAAAAAAGAAATATATACATATATCGGAAGAATAAAATCTGGTAAAAATATGTTAAAACGGAAGCTTAAACCAGGGAATACATTCTGGTTTTAAGAAGCTTTATTATATTATAAAATGTTACAAAGACAATTGTATTATATTATTGTATAATTACTTTAAAAATCTCAAGAGGTTTTGAAAATATCTAATAAGGTTTACAAAGCATATAATGGGGTATCAAATTTAGTGCAAGTTTTGTTACAGGATGTAAAATTTTTTTAAACCCTTTTTTTGAGTTGATAAACAATTGTGAAACTTAACTTTTGACACCTTTTTCTACCCTAGCAGGGTATTTTAATGTCAGTAAAAAGCATGAAACGCAGTAATGGAGTCATTTCCGACCCTATATATCATATATATTACTGATCAGCACGAAGAGCCGAGTCGATCTAGCTATGTCCGACAAAAATTTAATTTTTTCAATATTTTGAAAATTTTATAAGGGGTTACATCATTAAAATTGTCAAAAATTCATAAAAATTTCAATTTTTTAGAATTTTAAATTGACTATGCAGATTTGTAAACCTAATAAAAACTAACATAGGAAAGTTTTCCGAATTGAAATTAATGCTTTTTGCCTTAGTTATGAGTTTAACAAACTTTGATTTCTTGACAAAAAATGTAATGTTCTAAAAAACACCTAACAAAAGGTTATTAAAATTATGCAATTATTCAAATTAATTTTTTAAATTCCCTGGAAACTTCTTCCTTTTAATTACTTTAAACCGTATTTAAACAAACAAACCGTTGGAATTTTTGACAAGAGGCATAGCGACTAGGAAAAAAAAACACGAAAAGTCCCGCTGTGAGGATAACGTCGGGTTTGAAGTCCTGCTGGTGACCAACCACAGCAATCCCGCCACTGACAGGGTTGCCACCCTCATCCGAAAGGAGGTCCAGCATATGCAGGACTCGATTGTTTTTGTTTTTTTTTTATTGCCGCTTCTGTTGCCGGCGCCTTGGTTAAAAGCGGGTCGGCTTGGGGTCGACCGTTACGTTGACAACCTTCCTCACGGGGCACCCCCCGCTTTTTCCCCCCTGTTCGAACAACAACAATTCCACAGGAGTGTGTGTGTGTGTTTGTGTGTGCCAGTTTGACCCACATTTAGAGGCGTGCCGCCGCCCACGATTGTCCTTAGCCGGCATAGCATGCCGCCAGGCTTTATATTGAAATTGCGAAATATATTTTTTCCTACGGCTTCCTTTTTCAATATGTCGCCCACTTATTTGTGGGCAAAAATACCCTTTAGAAGGGGGTTTGAATCTCTCCTGGTTTGTAACAGGAAATGTAATAGATTATGTTTTATGGGCAAATATCCTAAAGAAATTTAAATCAGTTGATTATAGCAATGGGTTTTGGCAGTAAAGTTTACATAATACTCTCACGAAAGTAAGAAAAGCCATAAAATATTTCATTGTAAATTTATTTATAGCTAAACTTTGTTTTCTTTTTTTATGTGTATGTATTAACTTTAAATATATTTCAAGTACTCACATTAAAATTAATGAATACTTTTCATATTTTAATAGCACATTTATTTGCATCTGTTGATTTATGCATTCAACAAGCCTTTTTATATCGATTCAAAAATAGCAATGCAGTCGGAAACTTAAAAGAAAGTGAAGGAGTCATTTCCGAAATAAAATTTACAAAAATCGGCAAAAAATTCACATTTTAAATGAAGTATGCAGTTTTATTACCCTGATAAAATTGAAATTAATGCTGTTTTGGCTTAGTTATGAGATTTTTAAATTTTGATTTGTCGAAAAAATGTCATAGGAAAATATAGTTAATATTCATTTATTTGTTTATAATGATTGATGCATAATTAAAATGAATTTCTATATAACAAGGACATCAATTAGCATAAGCTTACAATTAAGAACCCTTTAATGTACAATTTGCAATGACAAAAGGATTGATTCACCTTAATTTACACTTCATTATTCGACGATACTTAATGAATACACATATCGTAGTTACTATGAATTCCCCCCTTATTAAAGTGCACAACCCGATTCGGTCAATATGCCATTGAATATTTTCACATTTTCCCTCCATTATTACTACTGCTTTTCTTTGGCATTCATTTCATGCCTTTTCCCATGCCGGACAACTGCACAGGACTCTCCCCCAACGTTTGACATTTTACACTCATCCAGAAGGATAATTCCAACATGTACAGGGATATATGAATGTATACGAGAGAATGCTACGATTGTGGGTGGCAGCGTGGGAATTTTATATAGCATACATTTTGGGGACCCCTAGAAACGGGGATTTAAGTGGCCTTAAGTGGATTAATTTAAATCATTTGTTTCTTGTTATTGTTGCTTGTTTGGCGTCAAATTGTGCGATGCGTTTGCGGTTTTCTTTGGCCGTCATTTTTGATAAATGGATTTTCCATGCGACGAGTTTCAGTCACCCTCCCTCCCCATATTTCCAATTTTCCGAGCGCCTTTTGGCCGCAATTTTTATTTTTGTTTATTTTTTTTTGTATATAGCCAGCTTTTGTCGGTACGGACGAAATCCATTAAGCCAATGTCTCTACTTGCTTGCCATTTTTACACACGAATGATTTTGAAAATCATTTTCATCATTTTCCTCTTTTGT